TCTCGAAATGAGAGGTAATTGAATTCATCCTTAGTCTCCCAAAATCCTCCAATCTTTGCATTTATTCTCGAAATGAGAGGTAATTGCATTCGTCCTTAGTCTCCCAAAATCCTTCAATCTTTGCATTTATTCTCAAAATGAGAGGTACCCAGCTCCTCAATCCTTCACACTTCTCCGGCAATTGCTGTCATTATGTTGAGGAGGTGCAAATGGCTTTGTCGAGCAGTGCGGTTGATTTCAAAGTAATGCCAGGCAAAATTTATGCATGATTCAGCATAAACATCACAAGGTCCAACCCACGACCTTCACACATGGCATCCTTCGCAAATCAGCAATACACTTTTACCATTCATCCTGCAAAATCCTCCAAAACTGCCCAAAGGATTTTGCAGGATAGAGGAGGGTTTGGTTAAGGGGTTGAATTTCGTAATCCCTTTTTATTTCTTTTGCACAGGATTGTGGCTGATGTTCATCTTTGGACGTCACAACACAGGAACGGTGAGTTGCATTTGCAGCTGGGTAATTCCAGAAATTAGGGGTCCAAAAGTGTGACATTTTTGTGTCCCTGTTACATCTGACCTTTGTTCCTTGACATGGAAATATCACCGGAAGTGATTTCAAACTATTACTATTTGTTTGGCAGGTACTTTGCATTTATTCACCACTCTTGGAAATTAGAAAATGTGTTTTGAACTTACAAAATCATATGTCAGATGTGACAGGGACACACAAAAACATGGACCCCTAATTTCTGGAATTACCCAGGTAAAAAGGACTTCTCTCCAATTTTGAATACTCATGCTGGAAATGGTCCAATTAGGATTCCTGTGTTGAAAGGAAACAGTTTAGTATGCACATTAATAGAATAATAAGTGCATGTAGAATTGTTAGCGTAAAATTGCAACCTCTTGGAAATTATCAAAGAGTTGAGAGCCGTCTTCTTTTGTTGTCAAAGTTATTTTTAGGACCCCAGCTGAAAAAAAGAACGCAATGTCTTCATGCGTGTAGTAATTTTTTTAAATTAGGAGCAGTTTCCACACCTTATATATGATCCCGAACAGGCAAGAATGATTATAAATTTAAACATCGAAGTTAGCACGGAGGGTCAAAGAACTTCAGCTAGCAAAGTTCTTATTGTTGCTGTCATAGCATTGAGACGAGGCCAACCATTCTTACTTTGTTTCTGCTTTCAGACAAAAGCTACCTCAGTAATTAACAAAGAAAATTTAAAACAGAAAATTATGGAAACTGGAAAAGTTGATATTGTGATATTAAATCAAGTAGGTTTTTATGTTCAACACAACACAATGCACCAGACACTGGTAACTTTTTGTCTTTGGGAACGCAAGTGTGAATCTCAAAGTTGAAAGTTCAATGGACTAACAATAGAGAAAAATTATTAGAACTGAATCAGTCACAAATATAATCCACCTCTAGATGCCGCTTACAAAATGTATTATTCAGGACCAAATAAATTCCAGGGGTGTAAAATGCTAAAAATTAATCAATTGGTCAGTTGAAGTGCTGCAGACATCCTGGTGTGCACATTGAGATTAGAACCTATCTAGTGAAGAATTTAGTATTAATAACCTGGCAGGCAAGTTGATACTAAGAGAACATCGTGATTGCTCTGTGGACGTGGTATTTTGTTGTCGTGTACTGTAGAAATCATTCAGAAGACCACAAATCATTGGAGTTTCACAGTGCAAAGTCTTTGTGGCAGGCTTCTCAGTAGAGAACATCCTAGTCTTTTTTATGCGGCGAGTAATTAACTTGCGGTAGATTGCCTTTTGCTTTGAGAACATTTATTAATTTGGTTTTTCTTCTTTTGGTATCAACAACAGCTGGTGGGTCCCCAGTGTCACCAATGTCTGGTCCTTCCAAGATG